CTAAAAAGCCAAATAACCATACAGCAAAAGGAAAAGGATCCAACTTTTTGAATTGTTTCAATATAAATACAGAAAGTTTGGCATTGATTCTTATTCAGGCTCCAGTACTCTGCTACCTTAGATGTAATGCTAGAGCCTCAGAGGTTTGTTGGAGAACTTTAGTAAACCATGAAGACCAAGACACCCAGCAAAGAGCTCAGAGAGAACACTGCAGAGATATTTAATAGGTTAGCTTATGAAAGAGTAGGAGTTTATAGGAACTATCGGCATATTTCATTGGAGGCAATTTGCCAACATTGTGATATATCATCTGTGTAACAGAAGTTGACATGAGCAACAGAAATTGGTCCACTCCAGTTAGAAGAGAAACTACAGGTGCATAAAAAGCAAGAGAGAGCAGAGAAGGAGCATGAACTGATGGTTTTGAACTATCACTATAGATATGCTGTTATAGGCCTTGACTGCTGGAGGACATAGGAACACCTTTTTCATCATTCTGCTTCATTCTATCTCTATTCTTACACTCTGCAGAATTTGTTAGTTCAATCTCTAGCATCGTGCTCTCTCTGCTTTTTCTCATAGTAGCTTCATCTGGCCTGTTCCTGTTTGGCTTTGACTCCATCCTGGAGAGAAATATCAGCTGTGCTGCTGCCATCAACACCTTTGTCTATAGATGTTTAAGATCAGCCTTTTTTCAGTGTAGTCATGTTTCCCTGACTGTGACTGGCTGGATGTGCTCTCTTGTCCTCTGATGTGGGAGTGGGCTTGGAGCTCGTCTTCCTGGCTGTGTGTTTCCTGGATGGGGCCGCCTGTGGAGCTCCTTAACAATTTAGTTTGTATCTTTGCTTATTTCTGTACATCTGCTTCTGTCTCCTTGAACCCCAGTTGGCCTCATCAGATGGCTGCTCACATTGAGCCTGTTTCTGTTGGAGGTTTCTTCCTGTTAAAAGGGAGATTTCCTTTCCACTGTCGCTACAAGCATGGTTGGTGTTAGGGATTGCCTTCAAGTTAATGAGTCGATGCAATCAACTGGTTTTCCTTAGATAGAAAACTTTTAATCAAAGATCATCTGGTTGAATTGTTTCTGTAAAATGCCTTGAGATGACATGTGTTGTGAATTGGCGTTATATGAATAAATTGAATATAGCTGAATAATTTACAGCATACTCCGCCTTCCACTATAGAACTGTGCACTACTTTATTCTGCTTTACTACATGAAAACTTTGAGGTTACTAGTTGCAATATGACTTATTTGATAATGTTTGACAACTTAATATAATTCAGAACTTTTCTTATTATCACAATCCTCAATTTCCTGTATGAGTTCATTGTTTGCTGCAGTATAGCAGTCATTTGAGTTTTTTTCCCCATTTAGTTTCACTTCTATTTCCATTCGAGATGGAAAGTTACCTGATTTCTAACCTGCATATACTGCAAAATCATCTGAAAATGATAAAACATTCTTAGAATAATAGTATTTCCCTTAATTGGAGCAGGAAAATAAGACAATCTACCAATGAGAGGAGTATTTTGACCAGAAAAGAAAATAATTACATATTATTAATCTGAAAAACATTAATGGAGATATTTTTTTTAAATGTAAATCAACTTATTCCATTTGAAATTGTTTTTATTATTTTATTTATTTGAATTTTTTTTCTTAACCACCATCTTAAATCTTATATTTTCATTTTTTTCAGTGTAAAAAACTAGAGCTCCATAGTTTCCTTTTTTTGCTCCATCTCGCCAGTTGTAAAAGCTTTTTATTTTCCCATGGAGACCAACATTATGTTAGAAAATATTTTCCAGCACAAATAAATGATCCTATGTGTGATCAGCCCACTTTATTCAATAAGGTCTGCTTATCCACAGGATGCCAGTTTCAGGTTGACTGCCCCAATTAGCTGCTCTAATAGGACTCCCACATCTCCACTCCATCGTCTCTTCTCTTTTTATCCACCGTCTGCCAGGCAGAGCAGCAGCGTGAGCCCCTCTTCCACCTGGAGGAAACCCCAGTCTAAATAGAGCTGAGTGGACACCTGCCGGCGGTGGGTGGGCATATGGGAACCCTGTCTGCAGAGCAGCAGTGAGAACTGGCATGCTGACGATTTAAACAGATTAAGCAGCAAGACCTGGCTCTGCAGCTCTGAGACAGAGTGACCCCTACCACCCCAGGTTACAGATATCCCAACTAATCCCTGAGCTGATTATTTATTTGCTTAGCCGAAATCGGAGGGGAACCAGAGTCTGTCTCAGACTTTACAAGAGATCAAACCTGGGAGAAAATGTCTTCATCATCTTCACACTGGGCAGAGAGTGAGACAAGAGGGACAACAAGCAAATGTCAGAGGTCTCTGTGATCAGTCTCTCTTTGAGCAGCTCAGGGAATGAAGGGTGTTTAATCGTGTTTGTCTGCACAAATGTTCACACATTGAAAGTTTTTATTCAGAAGTTTATATGTTGTATTTGCCCATTTTTTTCAACAACCGTTCTTTTTTCATTAGCCTACATACATTTCACAAAAATGTAGATTTACAAACCAAATTATACATAAAGGCCCCAATTAATATTTCTGGGCTAATGTTTATAAACTGTTTATGACCCTTAGAAGGTTTCAGAAAATCTTGTCTTTTTTCATAAAAAAAAAAAAAAAAAAAAAAAAAAAAAAAAAAAACTTCTCATCTGGATATTTGATCACCTCAGAAATTAGATCTCAAACTTGTTTAAATTGGTTGGCACAGACCAGGCTTTTATAGTGTGAATTGTGTTCCATTATTGTTGCAAGCACAGAAAATGCTTGATTCACAAAAAATTAAAAACAATCCACTGGACTCGGTTTCCAAGTTTAAAGATGTTTCGCTTCCCATTCAGGAAGCTTTTTTAATTCAAAATGTTAGGAATAGCGTTGAGTTTGAGGTTTTATACAGTAGCCCAACAAAGCCTTGTTTTTGTTTTGAAAACATGCAAATTGGAACAGACGAAGGAGCCCACCTATTTGTAATGGGGTCATTTGGCTTCTTTTGACGTTTAGCATCCTGGATGGGAAGCAAAACATCTTCAAAGTCCAGTGGATTGTTTTTTTGGAATGACTATGACCTGTATGACTGAGAACCTTCACCAGCAACAGGTTTTGTTCATTGAAATTTGAAAAATATAAAATGCAATCCAGAAAAGAAAATTAAAGATGGTTGACCAAAAATATATATTTAAAGTAACTTCTGCTTTTTTTCTTTTTTTAGATATTATTTGTTTTTTTTTTATTCCTTTTTCATATTTTATTTTTGATAAAAAATACATTGTGCCACAGGTTTTCAATGTTTCATATTTTCATTTTTTTTTTTTTTTCAGATTTATTGTCAAATCGGGTTTTACAATAGTATTCATTTGAAATTGAATTTTACAGATCAAATTTTCTTTTTTTTGCTATGTTGCATGCAATAATAATGAGATAAAATGTACTCCATAGTATTTAAGGTTAGTCTGTTTTCCTGAATTCAAAGCCTCTCCAGAAGCCAAATGTTGGCTTATGTTGTTATTCCCGAAGCCAGTTTGGATGTGTTTGGGTTCACTGTCCTGATGAAAGGTCCAGTTGGACATTAGTGTCCACATTTCAACAATTGTACCCAAAGTGACATAATTCAAAGAAATTATTGAAGTTTTTGATGAACTACTTAGCTAAGCTGACCATAAACTATATGATGCTCTTATCACTATATACGGCAAAGCCAGTTTAGTTTAATAATTAATACACCTTGAATGTGTCACAGACATACAAATAATAAAAAAAAAAGACCTAAAATAGATGTTTTTGCTAAACAGACTTAATACAGTTCTAGCTCAAAGCCGAATAAAGTATGTTAATACTTACTCTAAAAGAGAGGAGGGGAGGCCTTTAAATTAAAAGAAAGCTCAGCCACTATAAAGCATGGCGGTGTATCATGCCGGGGGCCTGTTTCTCTTCCACTGGCACTGATACATACATTAAGTGGAAGGAAATAAAACATTAGTTAAAGGGTTGGTTTCAGATTCTCTAGCCTGACCTCCAATCCAAAACCCCGGAAAGGCCTCTGTTTTCTGATTGGACAGCTGGTTCTTGAAAACCCAGAGCTCTCCAAAAGAAACAAACACAAACTTAAAGTTATATAATATATTCTGAGATCGTAAGTCAGCAAGGACACCTACCATGTAAAGTCAATGCTTCCAGTTCTATCTAAAAACCTCGGTCAAATAACCCACCAGAATTATACAACAAGCTTGTTGGTGGATAAAAAACACGGAATGTTTTATTCAATTAGCAAGGATTTATTGCATGTATAAACCTGAAACTGTGTAATTATGACTCATAACCCACCATAATTTCACTCTTTTTACAACCAAAACTTGGTGGTAAAATTATTTAAGCTTTGCGTCATGAATTTATTCCACCCCTAAGAACAAACAATTCAAATAAATCATTCAAAATATCAACTCATCTGTTGGGTTAAAAAAATGTGAGTTTATAGAGGACGAAATGATCAGACACAGACAGGGATTTGCAACAACAGCCTCTGCAGAAGGGAGAAGAACTGCTAGCTCACAACCAGCACCTTTTCTCCCTGCTCCCTTCATAGTAGAGCCTTTTATTAACAGATCACAACTGTCATAAGACAGAATGACCCTGTAATGACCTTCTGGCTGGAGGCAGGTCTTCAATGTTTCATATGTACACACACTAAGTGTCTTCAATAAACCTAACATCATCAACATTCACACCTAAAATGAGTTGATGCCTAATGTGAAGGGGATTTAACCTTTTATTTTGTATCCGATTTCTACCTTTTGCAGTTCTAATTTTTTTTATTTACATTAGAAATCTGAGGTTTGGAAAAAAAGGCTATTTCATAATTCATTGAGGAGAATAAATGTGTAACTTCATGTTGATGTAAAGTGCAGAGAAGAAAGAAATGAACACACTGAAATGACTTTAAAATCCGAAAATATATTTAAAAAATATGTCAGATATAAAGCAGTACATGATATGATCGCATTTCCAAAGAAATACATGTAGAAAATTAAATATATAAGAATAAATCTATTAAATAGTCATATTTGGAGACGGTTGTCTCTTCTTTCTCAGCACTATGTACAGTAAAGTCTTTGTAGAAGTTCCACTGAAACGGTCAGCAGTGATCCACTGAGTCATCCGATACATCAACATCTATATCTGAGTCAGAGAAATCCTCCTCTTCATCGCCTTCGTCCCCATGGCCCTGAGATCCAGGACTCTTTGGCGGAGCAGCCAGACCCAGTTTGGCCAGTTTGGCCTGCTGCTGCTCCAGACTCTGTTTGCGCCACTTGATGCGTCTGTTCTGGAACCAGACTTTAACCTGGAGAAAGACGGGAATTAAGAAGAGTTTTAATTTTTTTAATGATCCAACCCTGCAGACTGATTATAAATAACTGTTTAATAAACAAATAATAATTAACTGGAGTATGCAGACTTTATAAAACACAATTTGCTGAATGAACAAGTAATTCAAAGCAACAATTAAGTAGGAAGAAATCTACATTTTTTTGCATTTAAGAAGAGAAACCTTTTTAGAAAAGCTCAATGCAGATCTGACGTGGTTCACTTTGTTCATATTCTTAAAACAAAAATATTCCAGTTTAATTGCTTTTCTCTTTGATTATTAATCATTTTATCAAAAGAAGAGTAAATTAATTGATTAATAAAGTAATCATCATCTTTGTGGGTTTTAAAATGAACTATTACAGTTATCACAGACATTCGATCAGAATAAAGGATATCAGTTTGTAAATGTTACGTTTGATGAAGTTTAAATGTTAACATTTTAATTTTAGAATTTAACTGAATTGTTTTGCAAAGACCAATGAAACCAAATGGATGTCGATCCATTTCAGATCAGTTAATAACACGTTTCTCTGCTTTCAAACACTTAAGGAACATTTTTACTCATAATGAAACTTGAAGCAGGAGTATAACTCCAACTTTGAGTAGTTTAGCTTCAGGACTAAAGCTAAATTTAAGCTTCCTAATAAAACTGAGCTTTGGTTCATGAGATTTTAATTCCACAAATTCTTTAATCTTTGTGCAACACTTATATCGAATGAATTTGATATCAAATAATCTCTTGGTATGTTTTAGGAGATAATGCTGATTTGATTCCAATGCGATTATTCTAATGTTTGCAAAGGTTTTATATGTTAGATTAATTAATACTATGTTATTAAAAGTCAACATTAAAAAATCTAACCAATTGTCAGTATTTTAGAATAGAATATAATAGAATAGAATAGAAAATCCCTTTATTGTATCACAATGGGGGAAATTATTAACTTGTATTGAACTGGAGTAAAGATCTTTAAAGTTAACTAGTTTTCTTCAGTGGGTACATTTTTATATTTTTGCTCGTTACTGACTCGTTTCCATTTTTCTAGCTGCTTTCATGCTGCTTCTCTTCTCACCTGAGCTTCCGTGAGCTGCAGAGCTGAAGCCAGCAGAAACCTCTCGGATCCCACCATGTACTGCTGCCGAGCGAACTCCTTCTCCAGCCTGGAGAGCTGCTCGCTGGTGAAGCTGGTGCGCATCCGTTTCGACTTGCCGCCTTTAATCTTGAACTGATGGAGCCCTGCGTTGACTTTGGACGCGGCAGCTGTGAAAAGAAAGAAGAAATATTTTACTGACACTGCAGCGCGAAAGTGTGAGCGCCACCGAGGAGATGCTGCTCCAGATGTTACCTTGTGCGTAAAATCCGCCCCGACAGGATGGTGCGTAGGTGAAAGGTGGGTAACAGTACACCGAGTATCCAGGCTGCGGGTGAATACTGGGCTGCAACTGGTTCGGAGAATAGAGGTAAGGCGCTGAAGGAATCGGTAAAGCAGATAGAGGTAGAGTTGGCGCAGCTGGCTGGTATTTTATCCCAAAATTAACCGGACTGCTCCGATCCCTGGGTGTTTGATCCGGTTTGGCGAGCAGAGCCTCGATGGTAAAGGATTTGCCGCTGGGGGCCTTCGTTGCCGGAGCGCAGCGGTTCCCGTTGCTCTGAGCGCAAGGCGATGCGTAATTACGCACCAAGTATCCGCAAGTCTCCACTGGTCTATTTGGCTTCTGCATCTTTATTTTTTTCCTCCGGTCTGTCTCTGATGTCACTCCAAGCTAAACTCCAACCGAAAGTGAATGACTGACCCTCCGAAGTGGTCCAATTTATACCCTGGCACAGGGAGGTGTCCCCCGCCCCCCCTCCTATTGAGCCTTTGTCTTTCTAAGGAACACATGAGATGAGAGGGACCAACATCCCTGCAACGCATCCAATTAATTGGTGGAGTTGTACAAGCTGAGATTGTCAAACATCCTTAACCCCTTTGAATAACAAAGCGTTTGAAGAGCGCTTTTGGGGGGGTGGGGATGGGGGGGCTGAAAGAGATTTACTGCGTAACAAATTCTTGCATGGGTCTTAAATCCAAATGTAATCATTACCGCTGGTAAGGCCTTGATGTTCCCCAATCACCTTATTTGGTGACCTAGATGCTTTACGCACCGGGAGCTGCTCATGTTCCAGGTTGGTTTAGAAATGATCGACCTGAAATGTTTCATCTCTCTTATTTCTTAATTGATGCCTCCTTTTTCTGCTCTGTTGCCAAAGTGTCCGTTTTAGCAGCAGACTGACTGAATGCCTGTTATAATCGAGGCGTCAGATTCAGCGGGTGTGGTGGGGTCACCCCACGGATCCACTAATCCCACTTCACTACATTAATCCACTGGTTGATCCATTCCTTCCTTTGAGGAGGGGGCTGTTAAGATCCGAGCAGTGGTTCTGTTATTTATTTGATTGTATTCAACAATAAAAGATAAATGAAAGATAAGGGTGGATAATATGGTGTATTAGGCCTTTCCTTTAAGGAGGTGATTGTTTTCTTCCACCATCCGCAGCGAGTCTCTCTCTCTTTTAACTGGGATTACTTTCAGCTCTGCAAACTTTGCAGGCTCATTTCCATCATTTGGAAGTGACAGAGAGCGTCTCAGAGCTTTAAGTAACTGTTAAAACGCATTTAAACACAGCTCATTCTCTTTGACCTCAGTTCCTTTTATTTATTCTGTCCAGATGACACTTGAATGTCTAATGAAGAGGACAAACACAGACGCTCTCCACCGGAGCTCCTGTGATGCGCCCAGTACCGGACCACCCACCCCAGGAGCGCTGTTTACCGACCCATATCTCCCTCAGTTCACAAAGCAGCTTGAAACAGAGCTGTTCTTCTATAAATGGCAGAACTACAGACGTTTGTTGGTCAAATAAGGTTTAATCAGCTTATTTAATTCCTAATTATTCAACTGTTGCCTTGACACAAATATAGGCCTATATAAAAAAGAAAAACTGTCAAAAAACAAACAAACAAACAAACTGATATACTATAGTTACTATATTTGGTTAATAAAAAGAGATCAACTAATTAACCAATAAAATCCTTGTAACAGTTTGATTTCAATCTATTTGCGCAGATTTTAATCTCTGTTTCCAAAAATCAACAAAATATGTCCTGTTTCTTACAAATTTTACTTCGAAATATATTGTCAGGCTTCAAATATGATGTTTTGATTGACTTGTGCTGATAAAACTGGTTTAAGAATGTTAGAATATTTAATGATGATGATCAGTATCCCTGAGTAGAAATCATGAGGTTTAACACCTGCGAGGCACTTAAATTAATTCAGCATAATTTATTAAGAAATATTCACACTCAGGTTTTAATCAATCAAACAAATTCATTAGGTTTTAAGCATTTAAAGAAAATTTTTTAAATGGGCTAAATGTAAACATTTTGTTTAAGAAAAACGTGGTCAATATTTCTAGGAAATGAAAATATGCCTTATTTAGGGATCATGTTTAAATATATCTAATCAATGAACCAGTTAAAATTCATTATGGCACTAAACATCTTTCAAATCTGCATGGCATTAACAGAATAATACTAATAAGCAAAGTGTTTATTTCATTTAGAAAATGTTTAAATATATTCATTTATAATTGTTATGCATTAAATGCTGGATGAAAAAAAAAATCAGTACCAACTACTACCAAATGGTTGATAGATTTATCCCATTAGGTCGGATCAGTTACCATTAGCATGATAACAGGCCAATATTTAACATCAGGAAAACAACATTTTGCATTTCTATGATTAATTATGGGGACTTTTACATTATGTCTAATAGGATGTGCAAATACATCTACTTTGAGAAATCAGCTTTGTCTTTTGTTTTTGATTTCAGTGAAGCTTGTTGCTGTCCCTTGTAAAGAAAGGGCTTTCAGTTGCTGCTGCAGTTTGTTGCTCTTGTGTATTGGAGCCAGACAAGGAATACACGCAGCATTGTCCCAGAGTACCTTCCTTTCATAGTCATGCTTGAGAGGAGGCATAAAGCTAAAGGATGCTCACTAATGGCTCAGTGGGCTATCTTCTTCCAAACAAGGCTCTCACCTTCAGCTTCAAAATCTCCATCAGCAATTTGGGTTCCTGCATGTTGAACTGAGACATTTTTTACATCATCATTGTTGTGGTTTACATACAAATAAATAAATGAAAAATAATTAAAAAAAAAAAATCTATAATAATGCTTCATAACAGTTATACAAATACAAATCTGACAGGTGCGTTTGGATCAACTCAGTTTGAATGCAATAAAAAATCGTCCATATATCCATGTGTTACAATCTTCTTTTTTATCTTGTTTTGAGATTGACATATGAATTAAAACAGGTTCTCTTAGATTATTAATCTAACAGAACAGGAGAGTGTTGGCGTGTTCCTGTGCTTGTGCTCCTAGAAGGTTGCAAGCATCCGCTTCGATCACCACAGCCTCCACTCTGGATTCCTGAGCAAAACCCTTAACCCCACACTGCTCCCCGGGAGCCACACAATGGCAGCCCAAAATGCAGAGAGTGAATTTCCCCATTGTGGGACAATAAAGGGATTCACATTTACTTTTTTTTTTTGGAAAATTAAACTCACAAAAAGTGCAATAATCTGCAGTAAGACAGTTGAACTTGATAAGACTTCTTGCATTTAGGAGATATAGATTCCTCTGAACCCAACGAGGTGCCTTTCCCCTAATCCCACAATAATGTAATTTAGACAATAATAATTTATGCTATATAGTTTCAAATGCTTTCAGTAAATCAATAAACTCTCCCACTCCTTTCTTTCATTTGCAGCTGTAACAGATTTGTATCAGTTCAATAAATAATAAACACATCGATATTTGTGACCTAAATATATAGTGTTTTCCGTTAAATCATTTATGCTTCTCTAAGAAAATACTCAATTTATGTGTGAACCACGGTGACATGAGTCTGTAGTTACATTCATGTTTCCCCCTATTTTTGAAAAGATGGATTACTTCAGCAACGCTAATTTGTTCTGGAAAGCACACAATGTGTAAAGAAAGATTAAAAATGAAGATCAGCGTTTTAACACTGCAGTCCATAATTGTCATATCTAGTCTAAGAGATGCAGAGATCCGCAGTTCGGGTGGGATTATCTCTTGACAACAAATATAAGGTTGTTTAGATAATACTATTTAGCTTTGGCAGCAAGGCAACCCTTGTTGAAATAAAACCATAAGAAGTTACTTTGACAAAGGGAGCATGTGGAAACCATATTTCTCATTCCAACAGACTAAAAGGTTTTTACCCTTAAACAAAATTTTATGAGAGGGACAAAAACAACAACATGGTGAAGCACAGTGGTTGCAGTATCATGCTGCCTGGATGTTTTCTTTTTTTCAGATTTGCTGGACAGAGCTTAAGGCTTCAAAAGACTTGGGGGAGAGTTTCAACAACCCTAATCATACAATGAAACGGTTTAGATCAAAGCAGATTTTTATGTTAACGACCAAATCAGAGAGTAGAGCAACAGTTAGCCTCTTTGGCAGGACATCATTGATGTTCATAGATGCTCTTCTTAGACCTTAACATGTTTTATAAGTCAGAATGAGGGGAAAAAAAACAAAGTATGACCTCAGGGCAATAAGAGTTTCCTTTAATCTAAAACAATGAATCCAAATTGGTAGATAATTTAAAGCAACAATCCTATTGAGAAACTGTATAAGCCTAAAACTGTCGCTTTTATAGAAAAAAAAAACATATATACACATTCTATCAATATAAAATTATATTTTTAGCATCTTTGGAATTTCATAATATTATGTTACATGTTATCAAGTTAAGTCACAAGATAAAAGTTCAGAAATTAAAAAAGAATAATTGTTCTGGAGGACAGGAGTGACAGAAGCAGTGATGAGAAGATCTTCACCTTCAGTCTAGTTCACAGGTGATTGAAGGAAACAAAAGCAAGAAAAAACGCTGTCATCATTATTATCATTGACCCTAAAGGGGAATGTTTTCTCAGTGCCGAGCTTTTCCTGTCCCTCTACATCCATCGCTAATGAGAGAGTCATTTACATCTAGAACGACTTGGCTGTGCCGCCCTGCAGCTACGCCAGAGTGGGTCATTACAGGGGCCTGCTGGGCCCCCACCTCCACCTTCGCTATGAATGGGAGTCCAGTTAAAGCCAGGTATTCTCCGTCTGGCTCCAGTACACATTCAGTCCTTCTGTAAGCAGCTACACAGGTGGTTTCAACTTTTCCCACAGTTTGAAATTGAAACATCAGAAAATATTTCAAAGAGATTAAAAAGGGAAATTAGCACTGCTGTATCAATTGGACTGGAGGGAGGTGTATAAAATAATTGTCAAACAGTGCATTGCTGTGGTCTCCTTTGAATATGATCGTGGATCTTTTTTTAACTCTTTTTTTTCTTGCCAAATATTGGTGTTATGGTTTCAGGGTATGTTTAAAAAAAAGTTTTAGTAAAAAAAAACAATTAAGCTTTCAACATTTTAGCTCGGTGGATGTCTTGCCTAAACTTAATTCAATATAATAAAATACTTACAAATTTACTTTATTATCTCTAGATCATAATCCCTTTTGTGACTTTTTGTCACTTTTTTCTCGGTTTCTCTGCTAATTTAATCAGATTTGGGTTATGCTATTATTAATCTGTTTTGTGAATCTGATCATCTTAGATATACTCACTGGTCAACAAATGTTCTAAATATGCTTTAGAAACAAATCTTATTTTCAGTTCAGCTGAAAAA